TAAAGGTGGAGTTTTTGAGTCTGATGCAACACAAATTCATTGACTGTCGCTACATGATATCTCGCTAAATGTCAACAATGTTCCTCCAGACTCCGCCTTTCATTCTGAAATACGCCAGAACAGAAGGACTTGACATACTGTAGGACAACTCATAAATCTATTGAAATAAATCCTCTGCAAATGTATAGACATTGTTTAAAATGTGTCTAATATGAAATACAGTACATGTATTAAAACTACGTAACAAATCCCAACACCAGTTAACAAATGCCTTCAGTCTTGTGTCTGTGATAAGTGTGCATGAATACAAAGAGACCAGGTGAGAAATGAGGAAACTTGTAGCGGCACTTAATATGTGTGTGTGTGTGAGAGAGAGAGTGCGGCCACATGCTATCAAAGATTGATCGCAGTAACAACCAAATCCGTCAGACGTGATGTCCGCGGGAGTGCAGCGCTGGGAGGGGAATATGAGCTGGAGGGATGTTCTGTGTCGTATGTGGCTACATCCAATTAACTAACGCAATCAGCCATGTTGATGAATGGATTAGCACATAATTGCTTCGGAGGTGGGATCCTTGATTGAATTATTCATGGCAGTCAAACGTCCAACGTATGTTTCCCGAAGATTACAGTGGATGTGTGAGTGAATCTGAGGAAACGTCTGCATGTGCCAGCGACCGCATGTTTGTGTGTCAGTCTCGTGTTAATGGAAAGTGACTGAAAAATTGGATTGGGAGAAGAAGACAGATATGATGGCTGAGTGCTACTTTGACTTACTGAGCCATCTATGAGCGAGAGGCTCATTCGAGATGAGCCAGACCAGTGCAGAATTGATTGGCGAGCGCACAATGGATGTCTGTTAGATGTCTGTCTGCACCTGACTCTCACCTAATCTAACAACTGGTTGGCTGAGATGTTGACTTTATAATATAGTGTTTGATAGAAACTTTTTATTTTGGTTAAATTGGAGAGATTCAGATGTTATTTGTCTGATTTGGAAGCATTATTTTGTGAACACGATTCATGTGTGGTTGACTGATTCAATTTTAAAGTATTCAGGAACACCAAAACTCATAATGGATGTGACGATTGTTAAAAAAACATCAGGCCAGATGTTTCAGCCCTGACAGTATCTGATAGCTGTTATACAACTGCTGTTTTGTATTTCTGTTTAGTTTTTTGGACAATTTAATAACTTGCAGCTTGAGACCATAGAGACTGTGAACAAACTGATATATGAGCCTGAAAACAGTTTAATAAATCGTTGTGTCCGTTACGTCCTGTACAGACTTAAAGCTGCTGTTTTAACTGGGACTTTAACAGCTGCTACTCATGCGCTTTCCAGGCCAGGTGAAGCTCATCTCAAACAAGCCTACTGTCACACCCAATCACTGCTGTCACGGCAGGAATTTTCAAGCAGCACAGTGCTGATTTGAATGGAGGGTTGTGGTTTCTGTTTATTTTCAATCTGAGACACAAAACAGTGAATGCTGCTTATTTGACCTGAACGAAGGCTTGTGTGGCAAGTCCTCAAACACCCTGTGCATACACAATGAACAGACATTAAAACCACTGACAGGTGAAGTGAACAACACTGATTGTCTTGCTATAATGACACCTGTGAACAGTCTGGTTTTGAAGTTGATGATTGAGCAGGAAAAACTGGCTGTGTAAGAATGAGTGACTGTAACAAGCTCCACGCTGCGATGGCTCGATGGCCGGGTCAGAGTACCTCCACAACAGCAGGTCGTGTGGGGTGTTCTTGGTGGCTGACTGAGGAAATAAACCAGTGGAGCATTGACAGGGTCACGAGTGCCCAAGGCTCATCGATTCACTTGTGAGGTGAAGGCTGACCTTTGTGGTCTGATTCCACAGAAGAGCTGCTGTAGCACAAGCTACTGAAAAGCTTAATGCTACAATGACAGACACGTGTCAGAACACACAGAACACCACAGCATTTTGTCTATGGAGCTGTAGACATCAGAAATGGACCACAGTGCACTGGAAGAAGGTTGTTCATGAATCTCAGTCCAGTGGAGCATCTGTGGGATGAGCTGGAGAAACAAGCCCAATCCATGGAGCCCCCACCTTGCAACTTCCAGTATTTACAGCAGGGGTCTCAAAAACTAATCTTACCTGGGGGCCGCTGGAGATAGAGTCTGGGTGAGGCTGGGCCGCATCAAGTATTCCACAAAAAAAGGGCTTCAAGCATTAAAAAAAAAAGTACAACTGATCCAGGCTTCTCCATCTTTATTAATAAAAATTCTGAACATGAAAGGTTCTTCAGAACATTGGTTTCTCTTATCTACTCCTACCTACACTTCCCCTTCCACAGCTGAGCCACATTTGGCTTGAGGGAGGAGGTAATTGAGACCCTCAGTATGGCTTGACGATGCTCATCAGTAAGTTTGGACCTGTACTTTGACTTTTTAAAGTTCATGGTGGAGGAGAGCTTTTCACACAGATAGAAAAAAGCAAAAAACCACCCCAAAAACCCATTTGTACTGGGTGACAGGATATATTTTCTCTCTACTCTGTGCCAGCCCCAAATCATGTTTCAAGTGACTAACGTGGCTAATTCACGTTGCTGTCACGAGCCTGAGCTATAGCAGACCACAAGTGAAAAAAATAAAATGCCCAGGGCAGTGGCTGGCGTAGGTGCGTGTGACAAAAATGCACAAATCGCACGAACACTAAACTTTGATGTCAAGTAGGGGGCCACAAAATATCATCCTGTGGGCCTCAATTGGCCTGCGGGCCGCGAGTTTGAGACCCCTGATTTAAAGGATCTGCTACATCCTGGTGACTGATACCACAGGACACCCTCAGAGGTCCTGTGTCCCTGCACTGACAGGCAAGACCAGTCGTGACAGCACAATGATGCCTAAATAATACTGGGTGGCAGGTGGGGTTTGTTGTCATGGCTGATCGGTGTTAATACAACTGCTGACCATTAAGTTCAACACAACCACAATTTCTCCATAATAAGAAGCCACATAACCTGCACACTAAAGATAATGCCTGTAATGTGTACATATATCCCACAGGCTACTTCTGATACTTGATACTTGAAAAGATTAGGGAATAGCAAAAAACACACACAAAAAACCCCACCTGAAATCAGATTTGTCACTAATCTTTACTTTATTTACTGTTTGAATAACTAATAAACCAGCAGCTCCAACATGCTGATGGCACCGGACACTGCTCTCACCTGTAGGTTCTTGGCCTCATCCAGACACAAGGAGCATAATTCTCATTTTGGGGTATAACTGTATAATATAAAGCCCTGTATCACTGTCCACAAAAGCTCAAATGTTTATTGTCATTTCTTTGCAAGGAAAGAAAAGCTCAGAGCTAGCATGCTGTCACTCCAGGACGATCCACAAAGTGTCAGGTCAGGTGAGGAAGGTGACTGGGACGAATCTGATGTAAAACCTGACTGAGCAGGTTCATGTTTTAAAAAATATTGTAATACACACCTCTTACTAGTAAGTAATGTACTTAACATTATTGATAGATTAAACCCCATTAAATAACCACACTGAAGACCCAACAGGTTCCACTGAGGGTTGTGACAAACCGAACAGCAAATGTAACAACAATTTCCCTGAGGTTTGCACCAAAGGGATCAATAAAGTTCTATTCTATTCTATTCTAACACCACATACAGAGCTGCCTCCTCTTGTGCCGCCTGCGCTCCACTTTAACACGTTTCTGCACTGATGATACTTTACCAGCAGCACAGCGACATGACCAAATGGAATAAAGGTTCCTTAAACCAGTAAGGTATTTTAAAAAACAATAAAAACTTCTACATGACTAAACTTATCAAACTATAAACAACATTAGGTTCCATGGATAGAAGACACAGTTTGTCTCTTTGTCCCCATCACCAGGCCAGAATAAGATTGAAAAAATAACTTCACTTCTTAACATCTGCCTTGTAACAACTGGTCTTTGACACTGATGGTGTTTTAAAAAAAATCCCATCTGCAACTCTGCAAAATGTTACGCAGCAGAAAAGAAGCACAGCAAATGCTACATCCATTTTAGTCATAGTACTACATGGCAGCCAACCTTCAAAAATAGCTCTGGTTGTGTTTTTATAGCAGATATGGCCTGGTTCTGGTATAGGTTCTGCTCAGGTGGAAGACACTAAACTGCTGCTGTGACATCAGTGATGGGAATGTGACCCAAATATGCAAAAAGCTTAAAAGTTTGCACTGAAAAGTGTGTTTTAGTTCATCAAAGCTGGAGTCAGAGCAGGAACTTGTCCAGACCAAACCTCATGGCGATGCCCATTCAAACTGCTGAGAATGATCAAGGTCTGTTGACACTGTAACAACACAACTGTAAATAACCCTTATTAAAATGTTATCGAATAAAAAAATAACTATTCAAACTTGTTTAGGATTTGACAAACGATAGGTAAACTGTGTGAGTAAGACTGAGTGCCTTTAATGTGGTTCATCAGAGATTTCAGACGGTTTGATTGCACAGCTAAATCTTTAAAGTGGTTCCTCAGCTTTAAATTAGTCACAGTGCCATGCCAGCCAATCGGTTATGTGATCAGCTCTCAAGCAGTCATGTGAGTGCAGTTCATGGTTTTTAAAATTTAATCATGTTGCTAAGTCAGCTGGATGAGAATTGAAAGGATCATGTTTTCTGGCTTGCACGATGTTAGGCAATATTAGTTGAGCCACATTTGAAGAGCAGGTCTAAAGCTGCTAAAAGATGTTTTCTTTTCCGTGTAACTCTGTGTCTTCCTTTCCACTTCACAATCGGTAAGAAACTCTATTTGCAAGAAGATGCAGTACATCTACAACTTGTATTTATTTTTTGTGAAACTCCCTGACATTCCTTGTTTGGAATGCGGTCTGTGTTTGGTAGGAGCCAGTAGGGTGTCGTCACGTGTCTGTGTGGATGTTTTTTTTTTTACATATATTTAAATACTGGGTTACTCTCATGCCGACATGAGGGATGGACATGCAAATCCACTATTCCTCACCCTGACAGCTGGTGCACTCGCAGCTGTGTATGACCGGTAGGACAACCGGCTCGCTTTCTCCGCTCTCACACTGCAGGCTGAGGAAACGGACCGGGTTGTCCGGGTCCAAACGGTAACTGCAGCACTCACACACTGACTGGAGGTAGGGCTCCTGGATGGAGGGAGGAAGGAGAAGAAAGAAGAGGATCAGTAAAAGGAGAGGAGAGGAAGTGAAAGGAGAGCCAGAGAGATAAGGTGGAAGGAAGACAATTAGAAGATTGGAGTATGATGAGGACAAAGTGATATTTGAGGAGGGGATGGTTATGAGAGAATATCTGGAGATGGAGGAAAAAAGAGGAAAGCAGAGAATGGGGAGATAGTGGTGAAAGAGGAGGGAAAGATAGATAGAATGAGGGTGAAGAAGTCAGAACAGAGAGTTCAAAGAAGATGAAAGGCTAAGTCAGATACAGCAGGAGAGGCAGGTGGTGAAATGAGAACCTCTTAATATGATATCAAACAAGATTAGAACGCATGAACGACAGTAAGATGATGACAAAAGGACCTGAAAAAAAAAACACATCTGCAACACATCAGCACACAATACCATTAACTTCCTGCAGCGTAGTTAAAAACATCAAATCACGTTAGACACTAGATTAAAGCTCCCGTATAAATATGTTCCATATTCAGGACTAATCAGTGAGTGAAGTGAGAGAGTGAATTCATAAGTGATGTGAAAGCGGTCGCTCACACTGAAACCACTGATAGCTCTCGCCATACAGCAGAATGCAGTCAGCTAATTGTTTTCATTGTTCAGCACACTTTACTCTGATAAATTCTCATTCAATACAGAAGTCATTGCTGGCCTGTAACCAGACGGCAGGCATATACAGGTGATTAGCTAATAAACACAGTCAAACTAAAAAGTCAGATTTTTTCATGTGTTGGTTGAGAGCAAAACATGAAGCTGACAGGGGAGTGACTGCAGGGCTTCTATAAATCAGGTGGACACAAATGAACTCTACAAACATACACGAAATGTAAAACTACTGAAAATCTAAAATGGCAATAAAATCAATATTAGCCAAGTTAAAGCTGGGTTAACAGATTTTTTGGCCACTTGGGGGCAGTGGAAGAAACTGTAAACTCTAACGGCTCTTTAGGACGCCAATAGCACCGCTGCTCTCTAAAGCAAATTGTTTCCACTGCTGCTTGACGGTTTGGTGCTGCGCTGCTCGACATGGTTGCACACACAGTCGTCAAAGGTCGGATGTGGAGAACTTTGACTGCTTTGCTCTGTGATGAATTCCTGAGCAGCTGACAGAAACAAGACATCCAGTGAGGAAAGAAGACAAAAAACCTGAGGAGCGTCTGAAATCCTTCAATTATGAGACAAGTTTTATTTTTTAATGAGACCTTGGGAGGAAAGCCTAATCTTGGAAACAGGTTTCCATCCAAGTAGGGATGTCAAATGTGTTTTTTAAATCTCTTTATACACAGTCAGTCGTTTTAACAGTAAGGTTGATGATGTAGTCCATATTTTATTAACTCAGTAATGTAGACCAGTGCATGTCTGAAAGGACTCTAACATGTTATCAAAGTTTCAGCACACACAGGACAACTTTAACATTTATTTGAAGTCAGGTCCTGCGATGGACTGGCGACCTGTCCAGGGTGTCCTCTGCCTTTGCCCTAAGTCAGCTGGGATAGACTCCAGCCCCCCCGTGACCCTAGTGAGGATTAAGCGGTGTATAGATAATGGATGGATGGATTGAAGTCAGTTTCTTCTCTTCTGTTATAAATGTACCTGTACTTTCATTTTATGTCTATGTCAACTCCAGAGGGTTACGTTTATATCTTTAGCTGATCATTTTTCCACTATGGCGCGTCCTTAACTTTGCCTGTCTGCCATTTCGTCTTGGGCAGGTAGCCTACAGGGGGTTCATCAGTGCCTTTCCAGGCTTGGCTGAATGATGCTAAAATGCCTTGTTAGTCAGGGAACTGCAGAGTCACATGATAAATATCCTGGGGTTTATCTCTTTGAGCAACACCTTCACATTAGTAAGACTAACTCTATATTAAGCTAGATAAATTTAAAAGTGTTGCTTCCTTGCAAATACGCCATGCATCCACACCAGGCGTTTCAGCTGGTTTCTACAAATACCTCTGGCCTCATTAAAATACCAGACAGCTAGTTCTCCTACTGGGCATCTGCAGAAGACACACAAACCACCAACAGAAAACCACTGAAGAACTATCCTATTTCTATTTTCAAAGGGGCTTCTGATGATTTGAATGCACTGTTTAATACAAACTACAATTTCAACAAGAGAAAACGATGCCTTCATCACACAAATATCATCTCATTCCTCTATTTTGAGTTTCTTCATCTTCTCCGCTCTCTTGCCTGTGACCCGGAAATTGATTACAGTGTGCAGTTTTTAGGGATGTCTCAGTTCCTAAAAGGCATCTCGAGGAGGGAGGAAGCTGCTATGAGTGAGGATGCACTGGTGCATCTTAACTGTATCCATTGCAGAACTTTTTTCCAAACAAGTCTACAGGAGGCCTGACACACTGCTGACATATACAAACCATGTCAGGAGCAGAACTGACACATGTGTCTCATTAATACATAGATCACTGAATCCTAATATATGTCACACTCTATCTTAATCTTCTGTGTCTCATGCCTCTTTCACAATGCATGGCGTGTGCGTTAAATTAAAAATAAAAATGTATGACATCTGTACATTCTCATTTCATTAAGCCACATTGTGAATTCAATTATGAGTAAATATATACTTTAGGTTGTCATGAACACTGTTTGCTCATCTGACAGGGATCATAAAACACACCAGCAGGCTGTAACCAGAACCCCAACCCTAATTAACGTCACTTTAGAATGACGCCTCCAAGACAAAGATGTCTCATTTTGTTAAATGCCTGTTGCCTCAACTCCTCTCTGCTCGTGTCTTTTACTTGCCTCCTCCTCTCACATCTCTGGTGGGCGGGACTAAGAGGACAGGTGCGAAGAAAAGAATCAAGGATGTATCAACTGACAAATGAGAAGAGCTCTTGTTATTATGTTTCTTCTTCTTACTCCTTGTGGTTGAAAAAAAAGAAAGAAAACGAAATGATGTTCTACTGCCATCATCTATTTTGTCAGCCATATGAGAAGCAGTGTTTGTGCAAAGCACCATTTCCCCTGTACACACAATCTATGGCAAGCCAGCATTCTCCCTTCACACATTCCAGAGTTGACTTGCACAAGCTTAGTGCTTTCGGGGAAAGACAATTGCCATTCTAGTTTTGATGGAAGACCAGAGAGTAAATGAATTTAGCCATCTAAGTGTGTACACGTTTTAATCCTGTATTCTTAAATATACAAAAATACTGATTAGTGCAGCTTTGAGCTTCGCTAAAAACTAGTAATACAATACAAAAACATTGCAGACTACATAATTGCTGTGATTTTCCACGACAACAATGAAGAATATCAATAACAACAATAATAATATTAATGCAATTCATGTATAGACCAGAATATAAACTGAATCAGTAAAATGGGTTTAGATGGCAAAAGCATCCTTTGTTATCCTGTGTTTTGCATGACAGAAGGTTTTGGAAGTTGTGCTCAGGTGGCCAATTAAAGCAGACAAAGACTTATGGAGGAGCGAGGTCGTGCAGAAGTACAGTGAATGATAGCAAAGACTGATACATAATAGGAGAGGGGGATAAGAGGAGGGAAGAAGGAAGTGCAGGACAGAAAAATTCCAAAATGACTGCAGCTCCTCTGAAGAAGAGCAGCTATTAGCGCTTCACACACTTTGAGAAGTCTAGTGCGTGTCTGCATGCACATAATACTTTAGCTGGTGGTTGGGAAATAGCATTTGATTCTTGTGATGAATATCTGCTTCTTTCAGTCCTGGTGATCAATAAAAAAGGGAACTTCTCAGTGCTGCCTAGTCACCAGTTACCATCCCTGGTTGCCACAGTAACAGGAGGTAATGACACATTTGGCTGAGCTGATGTTTATTTTTACTAATCTCCCAGCATGACTGACTCTATTTTTGCAGTGGAGATGTATGGATGCCAAGGAAGAACAAAGTCACCATGGTGATGAGGTGATGAGCTCGCTGTCTTACAAGGATGAAAAAGACCACACATGAACGCAGGAAAGAAAGAGAGAGAAAAAAGAAAGAGACACAATTATAGAATCACTAATAAGCCTTTTGCACAAGACTTCCATCCAGAACATCTGTATTTAGATCACTGCTTTGTTTACCCGCCTTCATGTCATCTGTATGAACTCTATATTTAGCGGGAAACGCAGATGACAGAAGTTAAATGATCAAATCAATTTGCCATATTCACAGGCATTTATCTGCAAATGTCTTGATGGCCTCTGTTGTTCTAAGAAGAAGGGAGATTACAGCAGGTGTCACTAACTGCACCGAGCCAAGAGTTTAACTTCATTTTGTTTTGTGACGCCAGGCCAGGCTTCTGGAGCAAATCACACGAGCCATTTGGCTGCACAGTCACAGCTCAAGCATTAATCCTGAATATGTTCTTGTATATTGTGACGTCGATTCTTAATACTAATTTGTAGCTTTGTAATATTTTGAAGGAACAAAACTGTTTAACTATTTTTTAGTCACTTTGCATTTACATGCTGGACCTTCTCAATTTAATTAATATTACATAAATTGTAGGGTCTGACATTACAGTGTGTGATTAAAGACAATTAACTCCACGGCCCTGATTGGCAGCAATTTGTAATGACAGCCAGCAGCTTTTGAATCAGTTGTGTTCCATTTCAGTCAACTGGCTACCTGTATCGATGCCACTGTGACCTCAGTCATGCCTTATAGTAAAGTCAACACTCGTCAATATTGCCTTAATGTGTTCAGAGAGTAATATCCAACGTGTGTGTTCATGTCTCATCTCCATACCTCCAAGATGACATCGGTCCTGGACAGACATCGTCCCCTGCAGAAGCTGACCTCCACGTTGTCAAGCCAACAGTCTCCCTTGGTGATGTTGCGAACCTGCACATGGCGATGACACTCTGGCACGAGCTCACCTGAAAGAAACACAAAGAGGAAGATGAAGTAGCAAAAGGGGCAACATGAGATGGGAGTTGGCAAAAGAGAAAACACAAAGCAAGGACACTTAAATGTAAGAAACTAGAAGCAAACATGTTTGGTATTTGCATGAAAAAGAAGGAGAAAAACGGAGGAGGCGACAGATCCAAAGAGTTCCTTGCAGAGAGCACAGTGACATTGCCGTGCCCCTCACAGCATGTGACATTTCCTCCGCTGGGAGACAGATTAAAGACCCAATGTAGGTTAAGTAATGTAATCTCTCACTAATTGGGGACTGCAGCACTTAGTTTTTAGCCTCCTATAAAGAGAACTATAGAAAAGTCAGATCCATTTAAATGGTTTGGAGACAATGACATGGAACCAAAGTGACTTAGTATGTTTACTGAGAATCATGTGGTGTGGTAGTGTTTCATTTATTTTGTCTTACTGAAAAGCATTAGTCAAGACATTTGAGCATCGACAAAGAGTTCAGAGATGAGTATGAATAATGTGATGGGCCAGGAAATAAGGTGATAAAGGAAACAACAGACACAGGTTAATAAATGTATGTGTTTTGCCCTTCAAACAAACCTGTGACATCTTAATACAGTCCCTCAGTTGATGTGTTAAGTGTTTTTTCCGGATTTTGTATGTTGTACCAACCTGGAAACTGCTTTCTACAGACTGGACAGCAGCTGCCTGGTTCCTCTACCTTGACCTCCCCCTGAGAAAAAGACGACATGATTGGTCTAACTTATATTCTTGAATTCGGTCTCATTAAACACAGAGCGGTACATAATAACAAATAACAATAACACCACCTCTGGTCAGTTTATTATACAGCTACATCCTTCATGCGGCATTTTAGTTAACATGTGACAGTGAACACATTAAGCATTAACACTGATCAGCCCTCAGAACCACTGACGGGTGAAGTGAAAAACAGTGATTATCTTGTTACAGTGGCACCTGTCAGCAGGGAAGATATAATAGGCTGCAAGTGAACAGTCAGTTCTTGAGGTTGATGTGTTGGAAGGCAAAAAAAAAAAAAAGAGAAGAAAAGGCAGCATGAGGATCTAAGTGACACTGACAAGGGACAAACTGTGATTACTAGATGAGTGACTCAGAGCATCTCCAAAACAGCAGGTATTGTGGTGTGTGAAGTGGTTAGCACCTTCAAAAAGCGGCTCAAGATAGGACAACTGTTGAACCGGCAACAAGAACAAGGTCATGGCTGGCCTGTGTGGTCTGATACCACAAAATGGGTTGCTGCTGAAAACCCTAATGCCGCTATAACAGAAAGGTGTCAAAACACAGAGCATCACAGGTTGCCGCATATGGAGCTGTGTTGCTGCAGACTGGTCAGAGTGCTCATGTTGACCCCTGCCCAACGCTGACATGTAAGGGTCTCAAATGAACCATGGAGCAATGGTATAAGGTGGCCTGGTCTGATAAATCATGTTTTCTTTCCCGTCATGTGGACGGCTGGCAGCGTGTGCATTGTTTGCCTGGTTGAGAGATGGCAGAAGGATACTTTCTGGGAACAAAGCAAGCCAGTAGAGACAATGTAATGCTCTGAGCAATGGTCTGCTGGGAAATCTTGGGTACTGCATTCATGTGTATGATACTTTGATAAATATCTAAGCGTTGTTACAGACCCCATACGCATTGCTCAGGAATGTTTCGAGGAGCATGACAAAGACTCTCAGGTGTTGACTTGGTCTCCAAATTCCCCAGGTCTCTGAGCAGGCATCTCTAGCATGTGCTGGAAAAAACAATTCATAAAGGACCCACCTCACAGCTTACAGGACTGAAAGGACGCTGGGGTCATACACAATATCAGGTAGGTGGTTTCAATGTTATGGCTAATTGGTGCAAAGTACATTATGGCTGGTCCAGGTGAACCATAAATTAAAAAAAAAACAAAAAACAACATTGTGGGCAATACAAAAAAAACAACAACAAAAAAACACCCAATAGTAACTGAACAAATGTCATCCACTAGCAACGGCTGTTAAATGTGGTTGAAAGTTCCTGAAAAACCTAAATCCTAAGGCTGAGGTCAAACAATTTCAGAGTCAACTGCAAATATATATGACACAGTATCATTTTCGTTTTTAATTGGATTATCCCAGTCGTCACCACTCAGAGCTCCCCTGGTTTCCATTCAAGCCAGTTTAAGATTGATTTAGACCTGGGACACCATGGACCAAGTGAATAGATGAGAAGAGAGAACAGTGAGGTATAACTACATTTATCCAAAGTTCTTTTTACAAAACAAAGGATTACGTGAACAGGTATGAGAGAAGGATGGAGGGAGAGAAACAGAATAACTGACAAGCAGTGAGGGAGACAGAGAGAGCTGGCAAAGGAAGGGAAAAGCAACTAAAATAAAAAGAAAAAATGAAACGTAAAGATCAAAAATAGTGCATGAGAGGGATGATGATTTAAGGACACACAGGACATAGACAGGGGGAGTCGGGCTGCTGAGGAAGAGAGATCCAGAACAGTCCACAGAAACTTAGGGTGTCCTGATGTCCCTGTCTGAGAATAGCTGCTGTTAGCATGCAGAGTCACACACAGACACACAGTCTGACAGCAGGCTTCAGCACACCTACCATCCTCAGCTTAGCCCTGAAACGTCACCCATCTATTCCACTGCTCTATCGCGCACACACACACACACACACACACACACACACACACACACACACACAAACACTAACACACGTATATTGCTCCCAAGTGTTCACCCTGAGGACTTCTCCTCCCACTCTGCACTGCCGCCAGCCTTCCCTCAGGGATGGAGCAGCCCACTCACTTAAAGGGTGGGAGGTCATAAAGAGGGCCATTAACTCTTACGTGTCTATGTAAGTGTAATGCAGGAGGGGACGGAAATGGTGTGAAATGTGAATTCCCAGTTATTTCAAAGAAAAGGGCACTTGGTATTAAAATAAAAAGTAGTCAAATTTATGTCATCTTTAGGCTGCAGCATCTAAATCAGAAGCTCTATTAAAGGGTCTGGCATAGAGCAAAGAAATAAGAGTCAGTTCTTGAGAGGAAAACATTCTGATAGCTTTTATCACCAGCATATGATAACAGAGCCTTTAATGCATCACCTTGAAAAGGGGCTCCCTGCTGAGCAGTGAAGGGAAGCTAAGAGATTTGAGTTTCAAACAAGCACTGCTCTTAACTGTAAACTGACTCATAAATAGCAGAGTACACCGACAGTAACCAATTCTCAGCCTGTCAGCAGAGGGAACACAGTGCATTAAATGACCTTTTCATATTGGCCAGGATAAGGAGTGCTTTCACTAAGGCATAACTTAGTGCAGTCAGGGGAAGAGAAGGATTTGAGAATGCAAGCAGAAACAGTTACACAAGTCTGAGCCCCTCCAGACACCGAGTGCACCGCCATCCAGACCTGTGTACACCACAGGTGAAACACTGGATAGACCGTCTGCTTTGTGGAGCTTGCTGTGCAATCAACCTCTCCTTTAAAGTTCTGGATGTCAGCAGAATTTATTTTTACTCTGGCCTTTACAGAGCACTGGTGTGCTAAAGATATAAATTCAGCTTACTGTGTCAAGGATCAGACAGTTGACTTTTCCACTGTGACTTTTCTGGACCGTGGTGAGTAGGATTTTCTATAAATTAAATCTATGTGTAAATTCAAGGGTCTGTTTATTCATGCAGTCCTTGAGAGAGGGGAAACGTAAGGTACCAAAAATACACAAACATATTCAGATTCTATTCAGCTTTGCATCTGATAGACAGCAGGGGTATGACCTGAGAGAGGTACTGTGTAAGGGCACATTTCATTAGAGCAAATGTTAAAATTCAGTTTGAATCTGGCATCCCACTGAGCCTGTAATTTTATTTTTCGAAATGAAATGAATGCTAATTAAATTCATTTCATTTCTAAACATCCTTTTACAATCCTTATGTTCGCTGAGTGCAACTTCATTCCAGTCTAGGTCGAAGTCTACCACCAGTGTCCTAGATTGACATGGAGATCCATCCAAATATTGTACAAACATTCAGATCCCCTTCAGGTGATCCCTACTTTTCCTCCATCACCAGGTGAACTTTTTCATTTGTCCGATGTTTCGCTTAATGATCAAACACCTGCAAAGCTAGTGACACCTTGATTGGTTGTACTGTAGCCAATCAACAAATATCAGCATGCGCTCATTCTTACCTTATGAGGATGAACATAGTAAACACTACACTTGTTAAACATTAGCATTGGTTTTCATTTCACATGAAAACAACTCAGTGACCAAGACCAAAAAAGGCAGACTAGCTTATGTGGGGAGTATGACTGTGTATGTATATGCTAAGAATGTAGATTGTAGATGGTAGAACAATAAAATGATATGATAAATTGTATAATATACAGTTTACAGCAGTATTACACTCCCGTGCAATATCATTTACAAGACAAATAATTCAAATCCAATCACTTCTCACTGGTATAATTATTTCTAAACTGAAAAGCAGATTATTTGGTCTTATGAACTATTAAAAATGGAAGAATTTAGAAAGACTATTTTGAAAATAAAGACCCCAAAGCAGAAAATCAAAGTAACAAAACTGAACAAACTTGTGAAAACAACACCGAAACATATCTGTGATCAGAACTTTCTCAGTTTTGGACCAAGAGGTTGCATCTATCTGTAAGTCTGCATCGTGGCGCCGCATAGAAAAGAACTGGAAAAATCTATTTGTGAGACTTTACAAAAATAGAAAAGGATACGGAAGATCAGTGACCAACTAAAATTCAGTGAAAACACAGTTGCAGCAGTAATTGGGACGTGTAGAAGGAGACATAGCTCCACTAATCAGAGCTGCAGTGATGTCCCCCTAAAATGACGGTATGGACTATGTGCTAATATCACAATCCAACACTAAAAAACCAACGGGCAGCGGCTTTCGACTTGGAACAGGGGTTATAAGGGGAAAATCAGAGTTGCTGGGACATCTCACACAAGATTTATACTGACAACCTTGATGAATATGCATTCAATACAAATACTCTTGTCTACTGTTCGCCACAAACAAGATTAAACTTTGCAAAAGAACAAGAAAAGAAGCCTGATGAATGCTGGAAGCACATTCTTTAGTCAGTTGTTTAGTCCAGCATGTTTGGCACGAACCCGACCAGGACCACCACAGTGAATGCATAGACCCAACAGTAGGGCATGGAGGTGGGAGTATGAGGATACAGGGATGCATGAGTTCAGAAGGTGCTGGGGAGATGACAACTGTAGATGCACCACGAATGCCTGTGAATAAACCAAAATACTCGCTGACAAGATGACTCTCAGTCTGCAGAAGCTTGGCAGAAAAGGATTATTCCATTTCAAAGCGTACTGCCAAAATCACACGAGGTTTTCTAAAGAAGAGAAAAAAGGAAAACTCTGACCTAGCCAAGTATGTCGCCTGACTAGAATCCAATAGACTTCAAGTGGGATATCTTACATAGATAGGCAGAGCAACACAAACTCTACAGCAAAGAACAGCTGAAAAATAGTCTATGAAGAATGGAAGAACAACACTGGTGTCCTTCATGCTGAGGAGGATTGATTAGGCTATCAAAAATAAAAAGATGGACACACAAAGTATTAAAAAAATAAAGTAATGAAGGTATACTGACTGTTGTTGCACTGCGTTCCTACAGTGGAGCCTGTATTTTAAATACACTCAATCTGAACTGTTTTCATTTTACATGGAGTAAATACCCCACCGTTCAGTTAGAAGCAATGTAACTGCTGTACCGTTGTACAATGTTGAATCATTTGATATTTAAGTGGTTTTGCACAGAGGTGTATTTACCTCTGTTGTACAGCATACAAGTACTGTATGTATATGAGCTCACCAAGAAAAAAAAAAAATCCAAAGGAAAAACTGATGTATTTTCCTGAGGTTGGATGTATCACAGTGAATTTTCTGTATCGACCCGAACACAATGAAAATAAACGCAATTTCATCTGAGGAAAAAAAGCAACCTAAACCTCTGTATACTGTAGACAGTACAATTTTACATTTGCAGCCAAGGAACAAGGTCAGAAGAAGGAAAAAACAGAGAGAAGCAGCGTTGCAAAAGAAGTTCCGAGAAAATAAGTTTCAGCGCGAAAAAAATATGATGACAGCCTCAGTGGGAAGCTACAAACAATATTTATTTTAACACTGTCATGCCAGAATGAGATGGAACCTGTATTTATGCTGTACCAGAAGTTCCACCTGTCTGAAGGACTATAAAAATGAATTTATATTTTATGTGGGTTTCCTTATCTGTCTCCAGTTGTACAGAGTGCATGCATAATTGACTGTCTCCTGCTGGATGACCAGACGTTAACTCATGTGCATGACAGAGCATTGTCTGAGACAGCGGCAGTCATTTTTTTTTCTGCCAAGTGCCCATCACCAGCTATGACAATACAATAACTACACCATGTGCCAAATATTGCTGCAAAAAGTTACCTGAGAATATATCATAGGCAGCACGATATATATATATATATATTTGATAATGTTACTAAAACTGACTAAAAACTGCAACTGTAACACCAAGAGTGCATCCTTAACATATGTTGTACCGTTCATTTTGCACAACAGGTTCCAGCTTCAACAAATAGCGTCTCGGTCGCATTAGGATGAAACTCAATTATGCTTAACAAGAAAATAAGGAGTCAATGTTTAACAGGAGGGAGAAGGGCATGGTAAAGGAAAAAAAGTGCAGGCTTGTGGGAGGATTGGACAGTCAGGTATTGATCTTCTTTAGCCAGCGACTTGCAGAGAACATCCCACACATCCTTGAGGGAGCCAAGCATTTTCTCTCTCGCTCAGAGTAATTGAGATGTTTGTAGCCACCAGGGACTCTATGGGAACCGTACCACCAGGGTAGCAGTGGTGGCTGAATGGAGTGTTTTTGTTGGAGATACTAATCATGCCTCCGTACGTGAACTTACATTTAAGGTAGCCTTTGTTGGGATACATTGGGAGCACAGACACCTGCAGAAGAGCTAATAACTGGAACTATATGCAGCTATTAGCCACACACATCTCTCTGAGACATTTGTGATGTTTGGATTTTGGACTGTGCTTTGTGCAGGTGTCATCATGCGTTTGAGTGTTGGATTTCACTTGTTTAGGTCCAATAGTGTCGCCCATGTCAGGTCTGACAGTACAGTATAGATACCACTGTCATTGCTGCTGTTACCATTGCTATACACAGCTGTTATTCCAATTCAGTGGATTCCAACCTTGCAGTCAGGATGACCCCAATGGGTCACAAGATTTACGAATTTAAGGGCGAAACCTACTCTTACTACTCAGGTTTTTATCCAAACGAATAATATGTTATGAAAAAATCACCCTTTGGTTTGCTTTGAACAACTCATAGACATTAAAAGTGTAATTAAATATAAAATGAGTTGGACACAACAGTCCTTCGTGTTAAGGGTTTCACAGCAAATCAGATTTGGGATCCACTGGTTGCTTTCCCTTAAAACTAAGCATTAGTGGTTTGAAAGATGCCTGGTGCAAGGACAGATCAAACTCACACACACAGGTACTATTTGTTTGTAGGAAAATCCTCTAGCAAATGATTGCATCTGCCTTGCAGATGAGGCACAGACAGCCGAGGCAAAGACAGTCAAAAAAATTCATACATAGTCAAGATTATTCAGCACCTCTTAAGTTCACATGCAGACCTGAAGACAGGATAGTCTTCACTGACGTAGTAGTGTAACTTGGTATACTGACGCTAGACAGGTATCAAAACACCCTTCTGCTAGAAATGATGAGTATCAATACTTAGAGAAAAACTGTATTTTAATACAAGTCATATATCCTATGAGTTGCTTCGATTTGTGACAGTGGAGCAGTGTGTGTGTGCATAGCTCAGCTTCCACTCCCTACAGGCATAATAGGTTATCCAACTGCTTGTTTCTTCTCTCATAAGCACACGGCAGCTTTCATGAGGGCAAAATGAAAGTCATGGCTGCAAATACAAGTGCTTTTGCCAACTGTCCACAGATTGTCCACAAAGTAGACGCATAAAATGAAACGTAGCATTATCTTGCTTACATGACGACAGACGTGCCAACATGTTGATTCAGGATTTAAACAGCAACAGGTTAGTAAAAGGGATACATAATATATTTACAACATAATTATATCAAGCCCATCTAAGTTTTGTTAAAACAATTTGTATCATTCGTTTGATGAGGAAATTATGGGCAATAATTGCTGTTTAATTTGGCCTTAACTTTTTAGCTAACTTACCCATGTGGCAAACATCTCTGTATGTTATCACAGCATTCTTACTAGTAACTTTAACTCACACTATTGCAAGCTGCTATAAGACAAGTTATTCACAAGTACGCTGTATAATGATCACACAAATTCCTGCAGAAAGAGTCAAAGTGAGTGACTAAAATGTGCATTTTATGACAGCTGCACTCAACCTCACAAGGATTTATCCTTTCATATGCAGCAGTGGGACATGTGAAGATGGAGAGACGTGAATGTGTAAAGAGCTCATCCTAATGAAGAGTTCTTCTAGTTCTGGTTGGATATGATAATGTATGAACACACTGTAGAACACTAATTCACTCCTGTTTTATTATGGCTTCAGTTCACATCTTTTACTGCTCCGCACTGGTATTATGAAAGTATTCAAATAAAAATGTAACATTCCATGTTCTCCTGATGTTGTAGGTTTTAGCTTAGGGATCATTTCAGTATCAGCATCAAGACATTTAGGCAGATACGTATTATACTGTAGTCACAATTTTGGTATCGTATTGCCACCCGTACACAGATGTTCAGCTTCCTTAGCTGAGCTCAAAATGAACAACCATGACAGTGCAAGTTGACTGTAGAGGTCCGTCTTAACAACCGTTTTCTAAGGAAGACTGGTATCCAGTACCATGCACCACACCACTGCCAAGAAATGCAAATCAACATGAACACCAACACCTTTCTGTGGGGAACTTTCATGTTCTACTTACACCTGTTCTTAATATTTGTGAATGTTTTAAAAAGTCTGTATAAGTGCATGACGACTGCTTAGTGGGATCGCATTTTCATGTTATGGTGATATATATCTAGAGTACATGTATATATTTCCGTATTCAGGTCTCTCTTGTAAAAGAGACCTTCATCTCGGAGAAATGAACCTAATAAATAACTAAAGCTGTGTTCGCACCGGACTAGTATTACCTGGTGATCTTACATGTTCTAGAAATTATCCCCTCTTTTCTCTGTTTCATCTGTTGCCTTTGCACAGGTTATTCAACAGTGGACATCATGTGCAGATGTGATGTTACCAGGCTGCCACATAATACCTCTGTTGAAAGACAGCAAAATATTCTGTGCTGCATCCTGCAATGCATGTCACCCTTCAAGATTTAGTTCTTTTGATGGATTTGACCTTACTGTGAATTTGTCTCCATGCTGTGTGGCAACATATGCTCCCTGAATCTGCACCCAAATGTTGTCCAAACTTTAATTTAGAAATGCCAATGTAGCATCCATTATTTATCCATCCATCCATTATCTATACACCGCTTAATCCTCACTAGCGTCGCGGGGGGGCTGGAGCCTATCCCAGCTGACTTAGGGTGAAGGCAGGAGACACCCTGGACAGGTCGCCAGTCTATTGCAGGGCCACACTTAGAGACAGACAACCAAGCAGGCTCATATTCACACCTATGGACAATTCAGAATCACCAGTTAACCTCAACATGTTTTTGGACTTGTGGGTGGAAGCCAGAGAACCTGGAGAGAACCCACGCTGCACATGGAGAAAGATACCGGGTGTCCTAACCAGGACGCGAACCGGCGACCTTCTTGCTGCGAGGCAACAGTGCTACCAACTGCGCCACATTGTATTATTCATCCAAAAGAAATGCTAATTCACCCAGGACTACCATTACCACAGGATTGGTGTTATATGCAGACATGGCAGATTTACATGGGAGCAAGATAAAAAAGGAGCTCTGTAATTAACCTGCATAAAATACTTGAGGTCCCTAGGTATTACACTCTCATGCCAATAGGGTTTAAACATAACAAAATAACAAACTTAAGGCTGACCAAAATGATAATTTCATGAAATGACAGGAATTTTCCTGCTGGCACCTGAGCTATTTGCAGTGCCTACTCAGATACATATTCCTCCAATGTGTCATGGTGTATTAGGCTATTAGGAGCAATGACGCGAGCAAGGTAATATATTCAATATTGCTGACCCAGTCTAATAAAATACCTCGACTTTTCTGGTATTCAGGATGAGCAAAAAAAACACAAGTGCCCATTCCCTTACTAAATTTAGAAACTGTGATATTCCATTAAGATGACAATGTCACGACATTACTATTGCAATATATAATGACATTCCCGTGCTGCAAGAGTTCATCCTCACCAACCACATCCTGAGTGTGGTTGATAAAGTGTTTGAAAGCATACGGTGTTGATGTATTTGGAATTGTCTCCCTTTGCTTATTAATAAACTTTAAAACAACAACAAAACAAAACAAAAAAAACTTCTAATGCACTATAAGACAGATGCTGATTTAGAGAATCAGCATCTGTATCTCACCTCATCACAGAACAGTGGAGGACACCTCAGCTGGCACTGTTTTCTCCCGTTCACACAGGTGCATGACAGACAGCCCTCCTCCCACTCCGATCCTGCCTGGCTCACACACACACACACACACAAAACACACACAACATTTACATTCACTTTATATTCAAACTTTTGAAATGCAGTAACTGTGTTGATGCCTTAACAGCCCATTACCCTGCATGCACTCTAGCATGAGCGCAGGTTTGAGAAAGTGTAACTGGTCGCAGCTCAGGATGTAATTATTCAGTAAATCCACTAAAACTCTGGCTGCACTGTTGAGCTTATTAGGTTATAATGGCATGTTATGATGCTGCAATTATAATAATGCATTACACAGACATTGGATCATTATCCATCAATAACAGTGCTCAGTTTTAGGAGCATCCGCTAAGTGGAAGTGCCTCTGCAGCTCACACTGAGCCATTTGGTTTAATACACATGAGATGGTTGATTAGAAAACCATAGAAGGTCTTTATGGGGATATTAGTCATCACCAGCTGACAGAAAAAGACAGGAAGAGTAGAGAAGGAGAAAGAAAAAGACAGATAGGAGGAATGACTGAAAAGCTGGGGTGGATGGAGCATTGGAAATGAAGAGGAAGACTGAGGGAGAATTGCGATGAAGAGAAAATGGATGGAAGGGATGAGAGATTACAAAAGAATACTGTGAAAAAGGGTATGAGAGAGTAAAGAAAGAAACAAAGAGAATGAAATAGAAAGACCTGAGGAAGAAGGATCAAGAGGAGAGGACCTGACCTCTTGTCAATGTATGATTAATTCTTATAATCCTATAATATCCCCTCCTTCATAAATAATTCCTGGCAGGCTTGCCCAGTTGCGGTCCGAGTACTGGCTTTCTACAGCACCTCCTGCATAATTGATGAGGCTGAGGGCTGGAGAGGCATTGTAGTGTAATGTGGCCCGTGGGGCTTGTCACTCATCTTCTAATAGGCCCTTCTTCATGAGTAAATAACACAATGGGAGTGAATGGGATGGAACGTAAACACCACATTCATGGTACGGTGCAGACACAGCCACAATGAGGCAGGCACTGTGGATACAAGCTGCCAAGTTTGCTGGGCAGCAGATGTCTGGTTATTTTGCGTGTAAGCTGGTGCGTGTACCTCCTGCAGGACGCCCTGGTCATGGCAGGGGCAGAGGGCGGGGATGACACACACACCCTCCAGGTTTCGGTAAAGCCCCTCCTGACAGACGCAGCCCTCGGTGGAGCGGCTGCAGTTGACAGGGGAGGAGGAGTAAATGTCCTGGCAGCTCCTCTCGCACAGTGGGGCCTCCTCCAGCATGCTCCTCCTCCACTGCTCCCCATCAGGACACTCTGCACAGGAGGAGGAAGAGGAGAGGGGAAAGCAGACATGTGACAGGTGGGTGGTCGGGTAGAGAGGGGGGAAAGTGGAAGGAATTGAAAGATGAATTAGAATGGGGATTGGGTAAAATGGACAGAAAATCAGAGCATGTGAAAGTGCACAGTGACATAAGGATGTGGTGTTTAAGGTTTAGGGTTGGGCTACTACAGGGGACCCCCAGCACCACCAAGCTGCCACTATTGGGCCCTGGACCAAAGCCCATAAAGTAGCCTGCTCTTGGGGTGTGGCTGACCCTGTGCTGTGATCCCAGCCTTCTAATCAGCTGAGATATACGAAGACTGCATTGTGCTCTGACTGAATCTTCTCTTATGGTAATTTTATTACTTTTGAGCTCTCATCTAAGCCATTATAAGTTCTGATCATACTCGTGTACCATGTTTTTTTCAGAACAATCTTTTCTATCCAGAGCTTCTATCATTTCATAGATCAACACTTCTAGAATTGTTCTATCAGTCCCTGTAGCAAAGCAAAAAGCATTTGATATTATGAAATTCTGGCAGTAGGGATATTCTTTCATAATTATTTAGAGGATATTTTTCAGGATCTGTGCTCTGACTTTTACACAGCTTCCTAACAAACTGCAAAATACAAAAAGACAAAAAAAAAGTCTATCTAATAAATTATTTTCATTTATCATTTATTTTTCCTTAAAAATGTATCTCACTTGCTGTGGCATTATTATATTGGTTTGTCTGTTATATACTGGTAAAATTTTGAATTTGTCTATTTTACTGAAATCATTGCTTCAAATATATAAAAAAATGTTGGTAAATCTTCCACTACTGTCACTGTAAGCTGCATTTGTTGTGCAAGATCCGAAAGCTTGAGGCATAGCAACGGTATCTAAGGACGGCAGGGCTTAACAAACAGTCAATTTACATCGTATTTGCTTTTAGCAGATGTTTTAGGTTCCACACTGATTAAGATTATTGTTCATATTAATACAAATATACATCATCAGTACAACATCACTCATCTCACTCACCACAGTCAGGGGCAGTGCAGGTTGTGGTGCGGTGGTTCAGGCCTACACATGCGGCCCCTCCATACTGGCTGGGCTGCAGGATCAATCTGGTGGAGGTCTGGTGTCCAGTACCACAGGTAGCTGAGCACGGACTCCACAGGGACCAACTGGACCACTGACAGTCCACTGGAGGGGTGTAAGAGAGTGTGAAATAAGAATGTTAACCAATATTTTGTTTTTACTGTTTTTTATCTGCAGCAGCAAAGCAGGAAGCAGAAGAAAACTTGAGCCTGAGCAATAGAATTATCCAAACAATGTCCACATTCATTTATATTAAATCCAGTCTAGGATATGAAGATCTTCCATCATTTGATATAATAATAATAGTTGCAGATTTTTATGTTAGCTGATATTTCATATGAAGAAATTATTTTGTAAAATGTCGGCAATAGAGATATATTTTCATATTTTTGTTGGCAAGATTGCTGGAAATCTGGTAAAAATATAAAATCAGATAAAACTATTACTTTGTGAACAGTCAAAGCAGAAACTTGTTGTCATTTAGAAACCAGATTACTGTTTGGCTTACAGGAAAAATTTATTTATTTATTTATTTTTTATCAGAAAGGGTTAATTCTGCTGTTTATTTTCATATCCTGTGACTAAAAACAAGTGTGCAATTAGAAAAAGAATCAAGATTAGAAACAACATTACTGTGTTTAATATAACGACATAACGTTATTACTACGGGTAGGTACAAAAACACATGTAATTCTCAACTCTGGTTCAACTTTGTCTGGTGGTATGACATGAATAGATCCCTGCATAGATGTTATATGTGTGTACATATACACGGATAACAAACCTAAATGTTAACATGTCGATGCAACGAGAAGTTAAAAAGTAATTCAAACAAAAGTAATGAGAGTGAAGATTGACACAGAGCTCTATCCAGGCTGTAACTGTGATTAAATCTGATGGAAATTTAAAATGGTTTTTCCTGGCAGATGCCAACAAGCGACTAATATTGCTGGAAAGGTCAAGTCATTCAGTGCAATTTGATATGTGCTACACTTGGCTGCAATACAGAGTTTGAGTGAAATTTAACTGAGAGGAAGAGTTGTGAATTTGGATGTAAAGTGTATCTGTCAGGCTCTAAGGTTTAACAGCAAAACTAACCCAAAATGATGCTGAAATTGAATATGTCAATCTGGATCTTATTCATATTTTAAGTTATTTATTGGTCATAGACATATTTCAGTCACTGAATCCTCTGCAGACAATTGGGAAACACAGACTCTGGTGAGTACAAAGTGATTTGAACCTCCTGCAGCTTCTTCAAAACATTTTTGAAAAAAATCCAAAACACTTCCTGATCAACTTTTATGTGTATTTACGATCTGCCAATTATATAGCACCTTTTATACAGATTAGTGCAGTTCAGAGGCTTTACGGACTACAAACTAATAAAACAGCTTAAATGTTAACAGAACACAATTTCAGACTAATGTCCATAAGAAATGTAAGCCATTTTCCATGTTTGGCTGTTTCCAGTCCAGAATTTGTTCCACATTTCTCAGCTGTTCTATGCATGTTAGAGAACAAGTAGCAAACGTGGGAAGACTGTTTGTGTCTGCACAGTAAGACAGCCACAAAGACTGTCAGGGGAGGGGGTTCTTGTTATTATGAATTTAGAGTTTTATCATGTCTTTAATTACCAGAATTCTACAGTGTGTTGGTCAGGGTGTTTGTCACATCATCACATCATCACTCATAAGTACATAAATTTCCATTGTTAATATATTTGGTCCCAATATACCTTTTCATGAGTCTTATGACACATATTATTGATGCAAATAAAAGATTCCTGATTGTATTTATAGATTAAAAAAAAAATAAAAATCACACCAATGTTGGAAAATACTTAAATATTCCCTTTAACTTCTGCTAAACACAGTTCTCTGGGAAAAGAATATTAACTACAACCCACCAGAAAGTTCCGAAACCAAAAGCAGGAGGAGGCAGGACGATGTCTAAATGCACTACTGATCAAATCAAACCCACATGAAACCACAGAGCTATTCACACATTCAAGTTTCATATGAGGATACGAGTGGTTGCACTTTGTGACACAGCACTCCCTGTGATCACTCAGCTCCTTCTCCACCGACGAGTTCAAGATGGCACTGCACGCTCATGTTTAAACTAAAGACATTTCTGGAAAGTCGTCCATTAAGATATTCCCAAAGCCCGAATGCTGTCGCTCTTGGTGTAATTCTAGAAGGCTTTGAAGGAAGGGCTGCAATCAAACTGTTACAAATCCTGTTAGAGGCTGCCATTAAGACTATTACAGTTAGGCAGCTAAAATCGGAAACTCAATCATACAACGTTTGGTTTCAAGAAGTAATGGAAGCCTATGAGATGGAGCAAATAACACATTCTCACATTTATAGGGAGCATGTGTGTTTGAAATTTGGTTTGTTCACTGTGTTTTGATGTCGTTGATTTGTTTTTTTTAGCATGCATTTTTAATGTTTTATACAGATATGAAGGCAATTGTAAACCAGATAAAGAAAAGAGACAAGTGTATTGCACTGATGGCAAAACTGAAATAGAGCTCATGAATAAAGTTAAAAAGGAAGAAATTGCATGTTTATGATACAGAAACTCACAAGGGGTTTAAAAAAAAAAACACGTTTTCACACGTGATGGAAATCAGGGTTGCTATAAGAAGAAGGAAAACAATGTCTGCAACAGAACACAATGACAAATGAGCCAAATGAAGGAGCTCCTCAACCCATGTCGTGGGTGAGGAAGATGGAGTAGGTGATACTACTTTACAAACTACACCGAAGGAACTCGGGTACAACAGACTGAATGAGTAAAGTGGACAAAGTGTCGCAGCCGAATCAGCACTACAGTCAACAGCAACATGACTGAAATGGTCTTGCAGTGGACTAACAAGAAGGGTGAACGGACTGACCCGGGCTGACAGAGCAGATTTGGATTTATGGTGTACCTGAAGAGACAGATGGTAACAACAACTCTAGTTTCCTTGAACCCTCCACCTAACATGAAAATCAAATGAAACCCACCAAACCCACAGGCCGAACCCTGGTAAATCATTCGCCTTTGATTCCGCAAATTATGTTTGGTATCTTTACGTGAACCTTCTGAAACATTTTCTGAACTATTGAAGATTTGGGATATTTTTGGGTAAATATGAAGGAGATTAACTAAATGTTCAGAGAACAGAGTTTTACATTAAATTGTACTCCAACAGCACTGTAGGACATTTTTCATCTGAAATTAAATCTTGACACGTACCGATACCCAAGAAAGACTTCACATTACTAAAGATTAATTATAGCCTCTTTCTGAACAAAATACATTTGGATATCTGGAGCTGGAACTCCAACCCTTACCCAAGTCTTAGCCAGACAACTGAATTGAAGATTTCCTACAGTTTAAAACGAGAACAGGCCCTGGAAAAGCAAGACTTTTATTTACTTTACTTTTATGACATTAATATTTGATCAAGCTGATGAATGACCCTTTACTGAAAGTCATTAAATAGTTTCGGTATTCAGAATGTATAAAGGCTTCGTGACAAAAACATCTCATTCTATAATGTATGAATATGAAATGGAACAGCTATTGTGACTTTCAATGATGTGCATCTAGTCACATTCATGGCCAGAATATACATGGTGGCATCTGACTACATACTGTATTACCTCAGAGCAGAAAGCAGGAGGATTCAAATTGCTGGAGGGCATGTAGCAGCCCGGATATCAATCACTGACATATATTTATATATATTTATATCCAAATCCAGTTTTACATCTCTGGGCAGAAATGCACAAAATATTGGGAGGCATTGTTCATACAAAAATATATTTTCAGTTTTCTCTTTTATTGCATTGAAAGTCAATGTTATTTGTGGGCATTACAAATATTTATTTGGTGTTGTGATATTTGCTTGTGAAGAAACCCTCACGAAACAGTGATCGCTTCCTGATTGCACACAACAGAGGAGTGGACAGATACACGTAATGAAAAAAAACATAGCAATTCTTGACTCAACATGGAAATGAACAGATTTGCTGAGTTATAGCCAAAATGGATTTCCTATGTACAGCAGTCACAGCTATACTTAATTATATTGACAAATAAATAGGTACTCTGTTGCTATGCCTTTGTTTATTTGTTTGTTTTTACAATCTGCTTAATCTCCTATCAGTTTCTTTGTTTAAAAACTTACATAACTTACTGGATTGTCTTCCAAACCTCTCTTTTTGGAATGTATAGTTATTGAAAATTTCACAAGACACATATTGTCGAAAAAATGGATAATAGGAGAAGGTTGTTTGCTGTTCGTTGGTTTTTAATGCTTTTTGTAACTGCAAGGATACTGGAAAGAAGTTCTAAAAGTTAAATAGAGAATTTAAAGAAAAGAAAAAAAACAAACAAGTCATGGTCTTTGTAGGCTATGATTGTTGTGACTGTTGCTTAGTTATCTGAGCCAACTGTTGCAGCAGCTGTTGCTAACTATAGATAGGTTGACATATCTATCAACAGTTCATCTAAACATCATTGTTGCTGTTGCGTTCATTGCTAAAGGACAGAGTGCAAGAAATGCAGCTGTGACAGGGCATCACTCACCATCACAGCGCTCTGAGGTGCAGTTGAACACTCCACCTTGGCACACACTGGAGAGAGTTTAAAAAAAAAAAAGAGAGAGAGAGAAAGAGTCAAGTGAGTAAATTAAGATGAGGGGAAAATAGGTTATTATATTATTGAAGACTGAGACACCAAACCAATGACCATGTCACACATAAGAGCCTATCAGATGATGTTAAATGAGTATCAAACCACTGGAAGAAAGATGAAATGACTTACAGCATGTCTGCTGCATACCAGACTATCTATTACAGGAGACATCACGGTACCACACTGGACAGTTATTCACTACATTGTTTGACTGAGACAATACAAATTGAAGCCTTATGATGCTCCAGAGTCATTTTCAAAAATGAGACGTGATGAGAGCAGCGTTTTGAAAATATTATGGGCAAACTATTTGTTACATTTATTATAAATAACTCAAACGGTGATCATTGGTACTGCTTGTCGTCATGTTTCTTAAAGAGAAACATGAGAGAGAGAGAGTTTCCATAAACCTCTGTTCATAGTCATGCAAAGACAGCTTTCCCTTTTTCTAAACTGAAATGTAAACAAGTAGGGTTTTTCTTTTTTTTTTGCATAAACTGGTTTTAAGTCTTTTATGATGTTTGGAATGTCCATAATCAAGCCAGTTTTAGGTATGAGGACTTCTTAGATCAAACATGATGTACTAACAGCCTATCTAAACAATCACAGTGAAGTGTAAAGTCATCTATGTGCATTAGCAACAATGCATGCTGCATCCTTTATTCATAAAATTAATAAACTGGATTACTGACTGTACATTAGAAATACAAATACATAACATACACGCAGTTATTTCTCTCAAAAATATGCAAAGGAATAATTTAAGTGCCAGTATAAACTGACAAAAATGGATCAGCGAACGCTCTTAATATTGTAGAATCCAGCCATACGTGTTACAAGCAAGTACTATTGAATAATGAAAGAGAAGAAGATTATTATTCTATATAATGTAAAATGATATAGAAAGCCTGTGCAAGTTAACAGGACTGGTTCTTGAGGTTTGTTGCTTATGAAACCCTGGAAGTATAAATCTGTGTTTTTCAGACCATCATCGATACACTGCAGTGTCAAGATGGAAATAATCAGCCATGGTGGTCACTGTTTATTTTGCTCATGATGTGTTTTCTAGCATAAAAACACCTTATAGACGAGGTGAAAACCTTGATTTCCACCAGTTGAGGGCTTTTTAAGGAAGACAGACACTGTTAGAATGTTCTTGATAAAGGAAGGATGAATACCTAAATTAAGAGGCAGGAAAGGACATCTACTGTAAAAAATAGGCACTGCGGTTCAAAAAAAAAAGAAAAAAAGACATCACCTCATCTCAACCGATAAATCCACTGTTACCTCCCAAATGCAAAGTACGACTGGTGTGCGAGAGGCCCAGGTCCAGCCTGGCATTTACGTTCACTAAAGACTTTCCTTCATGGACCATAACCTTCAGGGCTCTTAGTTAAAGGACAGTTAAAGCTACTTCAGTAGACCAGATCCAGACACTAAAGGTTTAACTATATACAACAAGACTCTGCTGGTTAAATCCTCAAATGAACGGATGAAACCATGTGTGGTGTATTACCATGTGTTGCAGAGGTGCTGAATGGCCGTTCCAGGTGGCAGCAGTGATTCTGTGAAATCCTCAGTAGTGACATTCCAGCTTTGGTAATCAGTCGGCAAAGAGAGCGGTGAGCAGGGACAGTCAGCAGGATACACACAGGAGCCTCGATACAACACCTTTAAAGGACACAATGGGACTGTTAAGAGTCAGATTTTACACACACACATGCACACACACAGACATAAAAACAGAGGTGTGCAAACCTGTCCGGAAGGGCATGTGCACCCAGGCGTACAGGGTCCCGGTAAACACTGAGTGTGTGGCCACAGGTCCTCGCAGGTATATGGACAGGAAGCTGAGCAGCCACTGAACACCTGTGTGCTGGCACACTCTGCAACACATAAACAAATAAACATGCGACAAATGACTTCCTCTCTCATATATCGATCAATACACAGACATGTGTGTTATGTCTTTATCAGTACCTTACAGGTTATGGCACAGTTACATTGAGATTGTGACTAAAATGTGTTACATTTACAGCTTTCGACGTGTGTGTTTGTGTTACCAGGCAGGCAGCTGTTGGTGTTACAGACAGTGTGTTGCTCAAGTGGTCCAACACAGGCTGTCCCACCAGGCTCCGGCTCTTGAAGGACTGTCTTGTTCCGCATCGACACGCCGCCGCCACACGAGGCACTGCACTCACTCCAGGCTGACCACTCACTCAACAAACAACCCGCTACAGAGCGAGAGAGAGAGTACAGATATTGTAGACTGATAAACCACAACAAATAAAAAACAAGCTTTTTAAACACTACTGTATGTAAATGTATTAGGATATCTGAATTTCAGGGACATTCTCAATTGTGCATATGGGTGTTTGTTTCATCTCAGACCTGGACATGATGGCAGATCACAGCTTTCTGTCTGCGTGGTTTCAGCACAGGAAGGACCGCCCTCTGTGTCCTGGCAGTGGCGTGTCCTTGTTCTCTGGCCATGTCCACATGAAACTGAGCAGGAGCTCCATGGGCTCCAGGGTTCATAAACTGGGCAGGGCAGTTTGGTGCACACCAGAGTACCATTCTCACACACACTGCAGATGGGGGATGTTTGGAGAGGGGAGACAAAAACTTTAGCTCATGCTTAGTGGAAAAGTAAGGTAAAAGAAACTGTTGTGAGCGCTTAGGTCATCAATTATTTCCATGTTAAATTACACGTTTGTTTATGCGTTTTTGTTTTTGGAGAACTATTTCATTTTTGTGGACTGACTTTTAACTAGTTTGTGCTTCCCTTTTGAGAACCTAAATGAACTCTGCTCTTCTCCACAATGCATACAATACTAAATATACGAATGACTCAGCAAAGTGTTCTGTGTTTTTTAAGTTTAAGAATTAGAGCAATTTTCCACAACAAACTCTACAATATAACAGATCAGAATAGGCTATGACGTCTGCTATAAGGTCTGCCCTTAATGTGAGACATTCTCTTTTGATGTGACAGTTCAATTTGGACGAGCTTTTCCTCAAACTCAAATGTTCTCACCAGGTGTTACAGTCAACAGTGAGCTCCTCTTTAGGTGTGAACTCCAGCGTCCCGTTGCCTGATGGGATACCACAACGACACTCTGTCACTGGCACACAGTGACTGTCCTGCAACAACTGGCCTTCTGGACACCGACAACCTGACAATAAAGAAAAACAGAAAAGAGAAAAAGAAAAACTGAGAAACTTTGTACTGTGCTGGCTGATCCAGGAATCCAAGTATTTTGATGAGAAGAAACTACTGCTATTGTTTACCTGGGTGACAGGCTCCTTGGAGGCACTGCACATGCTCCCATAAGTCAGTGCAACTGCGAGGACACTGATTGGCACAGCTCTCTTGGTAGGTCCGCCCCCTATCCTCACAGCGCTCACCTAGGAAACACTGAAATTCATCAGTCACCCTTCATAAATAAAGATATAAGCTCTCTGCATGTGCTTGATTAATATTTTACTCTGTGATAGACAGGGCGATGCCACCAGAGACAGCAGTGAACAGAAAAAGAGACATTTCAAAAGTTCTGGGAAAATTTGTGATTGATGGTTCTTATCACATCATTACAAGCTGCAAACAATCTAAGCATCAAGGAAAGCTTTAGGATTTACCTTTACTGTCACTGCGGCTTAAACAATGATACGGCTAATTTATGGATTTTTACAATTTTTACGAATTTCAATTGAGACAAAAGTGACATTGAGAGCGACAACGAAAGAGAGACTGAGGAAATGTGTGACGAAGGAATTCTAAGGCTGTTCAATTCCGACACTGAAGAAGACGACTTGAGTGGTTTCAGTGCGCAGGAGGAAGATGAAGATAGCGATCAATGAATTTTCCTGGTAGGCTACTGTATTTTTTATTTTTGTAACCAGCCGTGTTACAGGCACTGTTCAGAAAAAAGCTTTTACGATATTTATTTGTGTATGTTACCAGTATGTATTTAATTAAAAGTAAAAAAAAAAAAAAAAAACCTTTCTGTGTAACATCCTTCTGTGTAAATATTTCATGTTGCAACGTGGACAGCTGTGGCTTCAAGACAAGTGCGGTCTATATATGTACATTTTTTTTTTCTTTTTAAAGTTGGTGAGTTGGTGCAGCTTATATTCAGATGCGCTCAATTATGGTGCTTAAAAATACAATACAGTACAGTACTGTGACAAGATATTTTGTTCCTCTTGATTTCTTCTACTTTTGTATAAAATCATCCATCACAACATTAAAACCACTGATGGCTGCCTTCCAGTACCTAAACACACGATATGGCCATATTAACAAGGTAACAAGTTAGATTTTCATCAGAAGTGGTCTTGAAAGCAAACAGGAGGAACTTCACGTACGTATACGGTAAAGCACACTCAATCTTAGTGGTACTCAAAGTGCTTTACAATGTTTTCACACACCAATGGTCGCAGAGCTGCCATGAAAGGTGCTCTCTTTCACCAGTGGGAGCAATTTTAGGTTCAGCGTCTTGTCCATAATTCGGTATGAGGCTAAACTGCCAAGCTTGCTGTTAGTCGACAACCTGCTGTACCGTCTGATTCACAGCCAACACATACAGCCATATCAGTATCATTACTTTCTTTTCAGCCCGGGTCAAATAAACTAATTAATAAAAGAAATTCATTGACTCAGGTGTCTTTATCTGTAGTCATTTTCTGATCTTGAGCAATTTCTTGCCCACAATACGATGAGATGGTTTACATTCATGTGTTTATGTAAAACTTAGATAAACAACGGTAGTTCAGCAACGCTTTTGTTCAAGTGTTGACACATCTAATTTTATTTGTACTACAAATCTATATCAGTTACAAAGGGGTATGTTTGTATGTATATATATATTTCTGTAGGTCTTTTAAACAAAAAGGATATCAAGTGAAGTATTGAGGATTTAACTGTTCTAAAGGGACAAGGCAGAATTAATTCCAACAACTGCTGGAACTGTGAACTGAAAAGTGCACTTGATGTCAAATTCTCTCCAAATTTGCTGAGTTGGAATGCAAATACTAAAAAGTCTAGGTAAGTTTAAAACAAAGAGTAATAGTACCTGGACAGAGTCCTGTGTTGCAGCTCTGGCTCTGTGTCTGTTGGCTCCGACAGTGGCGTCCTGCAGGAGAAGCCAGAGGCCATCTGTAGCGCTGCCTGACTCCACCGCTGCACGGCTCTGCACATGCTGTCCAGGTGCTCCACAGACTCCACTGACACAGATCTAGAAAAGCAGAGTGATTATCATAACTACTACACCTTATCTCTGCTCTCATCCTAATTATAATTGACTGTAATTATCACAATGACTGCTGTAATAGCTGTAATTGTTGCAAGACTCATTATCATCAATAATGATAAAGTGTTTGTGTTTACGGACCTTTGTACAACCATACTTGAGCTACTGAGATATCTAATTTATACATTAGAAACACATTTTTAGATTCTTGTATTCAGAGTTTCCCAGTGTTTCAGAGTAAATGAAACCATTGTATACTCTCACCTCGCAGTTCTTAGATGTCTGAACTCACTCTGATGATGTACAGGACTATTTGAAATGCAAGTCAAACCTAAGGTCCACTGGGCATGACACACTCAGAGCTATTCCCTTCCATATCTACAGTAACGGTAAGGGCCAGACAAAAATGGAGGGATGACAGTGTTAAGTTCAGAATGAATCATTCATTGCACACACACATACACACACACACACACACACAGGCACACACACAAAACCAAATCCAATCAACCTTGTGTGTCCCCACAGACACGGACATTTAACCCATTCTGTACAATCCTTTTTCCAGCTTTACTCCTTTGGGGAATGCTCAGAAAGAGGTAGCAGGGATGCACAATATCATTTTTCACTGTGATTACAAGTGCTTAATTACCTACTGATGATAAGTATTAATCTGCACTGCCAGCAGCGAAGTGACACAATAAATACGTACAGAAAAACCCATGAATTCCTGAGACCACACTTGAGATTTTTCTTACAGTCTTTCCTGTTGTAAAAGGATGCCAAACCATACAAATTCACTTAATATCATTCAGTTTTTGCTGATTATCTAAACCATTAAATAAATACCTGTACAGAAAACAGAAAAAAATGTTTGGTCTTTTCATATTGCACTGCAGTGTTCCCCACTGAATTAGATTTCAACGTTTCTAACATGTAGCTGCTGACACTGTGAAGTACATACAGGGGTGATTAGGTTACTGTAATTAGCCATTAAGTGTCAGTGAAGTGTATATAGGTGTCCAAATGTTGTGTAAAGGAAAGGGAAATAAAGATCAGCTTCATGCAACGCTACAGTTATGTCTATCTGCCTCTCCTCATTACTACAGAGTTTTTCTGAACAGTAAGGGCTTGTTACCAGCTATGAGCCAGGCGACAGTAATGACATTTAAGCCCTGATGCTATTCCACTGCACACACAACTGGGCTGTTATTGTTTGTATACTACTTTATTGTCTCCTGAGAGTCTATGGACATGTTTCATTTATGTGCCGTAGATCAGAATTTACGTATTCCATGCATGCACACTTGTGTTGAGCATACTGCCCTTGTAACATTGTGGTCATGCTGGCACAATTTTGGGCTGCAGACATTAGCAGAAGAGTTTGTGTGGACTCTAACAGGCTTAGACGGATGGTAAAATTTACGGCAATTGTGTACTATTAGATGCAGAAAGTACTATTGGTACTGGCTGAAAACCAGTAGTGTGGTTACCACGGCAAGGCCAGCGTTATAATTTCTGCCTTTCCATGTCCACAAATATGGGATTTTCTATGACAGTCCATGTGATATACATTTCATTGTTTGCCAATACAAGGGCAGTTGTGAACATCCATCCATTATCTATACACCGCTTAATCCTCAATAGGGTCGCGGGGGGGCTGGAGCCTATCCCAGTTGACTCAGGGCGAAGGCAGGGGACACCCTGGACAGGTCACCAGTCTATCGCAGGGCCACACATAGAGACAGACAAGCAAGCACACTCACATTCACACCTATGGACAATTTAGAATCACCAATTAACCTCAACAAGTTTTTGGACTGTGTGGGAGGAAGCCGGAGAATCCGGAGAGAACCCACGCTGCACGGGGAGAACATGCAAACTCCACGCAGAAAGATTCTGGTGCCCCCACCGGGACGCGAATCGGCAACCTTCTTGCTGCCACCCTGCAGCCAGTTGTGAACATGCTTACAGAAAACACAGCTGCTGATCTACGGTACATGTATCCAACAGAGCCTCCCCTAATTGACTCCAATGGACTAAAAAGTAGTTTAATAATAACAACTACTCGTCTGTGCTGTTTGTGGCTGTCAAACGAGTGTAATTAAGGCTTAACACAGCTTTTTAGATGCTTGAGAATAACATATTTGAAGTGTTAGGTCTCTCGGATCACCAGGACAATGTTGTGTTATAAACATCGATTGACTAACTTGTCAGATACATCAGTTTTAAACACATTTGTGCAAAGGCATTCATGATGCTAACCATTCGTGAACTCCAAATTTCTGTGGGGACAAGTCGTCAAAAATCATTCCTCCCACACATGTTTTGATTCAGACTGTGCAACGGGTTATCTTATTCACAGACCGGTCTGTTGTCAGTGTGTCTATGTGTGCATGAGAGAGTGAGAAAGGGGAAGGGGGACATAGCTCTACAATCAAACAAGATTTTACCCATTTTAAATAATAATAATTAAAAAAAGAAAATCAATATGTGTCGTTTAATTTTGTTATTGAGGCTGATCTCCATGAATAAATCAATATATGAGAAACACTGAAGTGTGTCACAATGAACTGATACATTGTGTCTTAACTTTTTATTTCTAATGTAATGCTCTTTGGAGTTGTCCTGTTGTTGGACAGAACTATAAAAAAAAAACATGCTTTGTCTTGTACTTCACCCATATTGCAAAACAAAATGACCACCTCTCGAGAGAAAACCATACTAGAGTCATTTCGACACCATTGTCACCCTCTCATCCAATCTGGGATTCATTCCTTCCATGGTGTCATGCCTGTCAAACTCTGACTTGTTCACTGACTTTCTGAATACAATCTTTTAAAGGGAGCAAATCGTCGAGCTGCTGCAGCATGCCGAGGGCGACTCGGGTGAAGAAAAATGGTCCAATTCATTACTTTTCCTTTCTGTGACGTAAAAGAAGGAACTGGAGCTTGACAAAGACAAACTGAGGAGCTGACTTCACCTCTGCACTAAGATAAGAGTGATTAGCTCAATGTCCTCTTGGACAAACACCATTACCTCTGCAAATGTTAGCATCTGGACAGAGCCTCTCCTCCACCAGCGGTCCTGGACATTGGCTCTCTTCCTCTCCAGTGATAGGAAGACCAGAATCCAGGTCCAAACAGGCCCGGAAGCGCCTCTGGATTGAGAACATTTTTGTGCCACGGATAAGCCCTGCTGCCGAAGTGTCGTGCTGCACGGAGGAAGAGGGTACACATGGAGAACAGGGGGTCCACTCTGACCACTCGCTGAGGATGACTAAAAAACCACAAGGAAAGTCGCAGAGTAATAAGGTGAAGGAGTTATTCAGGGAAGAGCTCTTTTTATTATTCTTATTATTCTGCTTTCCTACCTTCACACTCTCTCATGTCACACTGCAAAGTTCCATCATGGCAAAGGCTGGAGGACAGAAAAGGAAACAAACAGATAATCATAACAATATGTCCAACTGAGTCAGAAATCCCACACAAAGTAAAAGACAAAGAGATACAAACAAGTAGAGTACAAAAGCAGAAACAGCGGAGAATGATTAAGACGCAGCAGATACAGTTCTTTATATTGCATCTACCCTGTGTTCATGCAGTACTTGGCACAGTCGCTAACACCTATTATGCAAGCGCCGCTTAAAATTTCTGTCCAAAAATAACCAGAAAAACAGCTTTGTGTAACAAAGGACTGAAACAGAAATAATTAGTTTTTTACAGCTAACCAGGTACTGCAGCCTATGGTGACCGTGGCCCCCTGAGGGACAGTGACAGGTGTGGGTGGTTGTCCTGAAGCTTGGTGCTGCAGGTGGACGCAGCCACATTCCTCTGGAGGAACACAGCTACCATTCTGCTGCAGCAGGCCCTGGAATGGAGAACATAAAATTCATGAAAGAATAACTGGCACAGTTGGACATTTTTTTGTTCTGATTAATTTTTAACATAAAGGACACTTGAAAGCTTACGGTTCTTTTCATTTGTATCTATGAAGTGAAGTTGAGCAAATACATATACAAATACAATCCGAAATGTATACACATACAGCACAAAAGGCAAATATAGTTCACTTGTGTTGCACCTAACAATTGTTTTATCATTTAAATATTATGTGACACTTCACATAAATGCAATCCATATTCTTTAAATGAATGAATGGTAACTGCCATGTTCTACAACCAAGGTGATGTGCTTTTTGTTCCACATTTCATTATCACCCCTCCCAGCTGCAGCACGGGTGTATCATCAGTCTATCAGAGGATTTTCAGGTTTTTGCAATAAATCAAAGCTGGAAGTTCCCAAAGTGGGCCAAATAACATTATAAAATTGTCATCACAACTCACATCAAAGTGATGGATTAACAGAAATACACACAGCATATTTCACCTTCCAAATTTGTGCCAGCATATTTTTGCTCTTTTCTTCTTACTTTCTCTAAACTACAATGTTACCAGAAGAGTGCCTCAAAAAGTTTTTCAAATGCTAATGCACTTTTATGTTTTACATTTATATGCGTGCGAGTGCGGAGTTTGCATCAACTGTAGACTAATAATAATTACCCTTACATATGTATTCAGATTTGGAATTCAATAAAAAACTCAGAATGTGCATCAGGAGGTGTGATACAATGTGTGCCAATAAACAAGACATACCACAGCTATTAGCTTGTTTCACATCGTATGCTAAATTGATTAAATTGTTTGAATTACATTTGTCCTCTATGGCCAGCAGACAAGGCAAAGGTAACATGCCATTTACGTTTCCAGTATCAAGACTTGTGTTACCTGTCTTGTTAATTTTCTAAAACCGCAAACATGAACACAATTCTTCAGGTTTTAGATTGATAGATTGCTCCAATTAAAGTTTGTTTTATTGTGAATATAAAGGTCTGAATGAGCATACATACATAGATATTGTATGTATTATAGCGTGGAGTATAGAAAAGGACAAAATAAATAATAACGCTAATGTATTACACAAAACAATCTAGTGAAATTCACCTGTGGGCAGTAACACCCAGGCGTGCACTCCTGGACCCCTAAGCACAGATCTTCACGGCCCTGTAGTGTACACTGCTTCTCACAGGGTGCACCACAAGCCAAGTACACAAATGGGGCTTCACATACTACAAACAGGGCAAAAGACAACAGGTAATGTTATTCTTGGATAATATCAACATGCACTGAATTATGCATATACAAATGCTCACATGCACGCCATTAAATGTAAGAACTCAAGAGACATATTCTCACAAAATTAGACAACTTAAAGGGTATTTGTATTCCTATAGACCGATTTGGGAGCTACTTTGGTTGCTTAAGGGCATGAAAAGCAAAATAAGCAGCTCTTTAAGGAAAGAAATGTATACCAGGGGAGTGACCTTACCCTCACACTGACTGAGACTGCACGTCCTGCTCTGGGTTTCTACAGGAGTGCACTGTTGCCCCCTGGTGGCAGAGGACAGAGCTACACGGTAGCGCTGCTGCCGTTGAGACTCACAGGAGCACTGAGACCAAACACTCCACGCTGACATGGGACAGCCTGGAAAAGAAGATAAAGCATCCCATTAGGTTCTCTGCCTGTGTTTAAATAAACACTTAGTGTTATTTACAATTCACTTCAGCCTGTCACGCATCATTTAAACTTGTATATGTGTGAATCAGCGATTACATAGTTGGTCCTATTGCTATGCTAATCAGTGTACAAAATATCTATTTATAATCTAAACACTAGATTATCCTCTTTTACAACCAATATAAAGCTGTCTTAATCGTATACCAAACTCAAATACAGTAAAAGCAGAAACAAAAAATCTGTTGCCAACCATGATGATCTGATACCAAGTATTCCAAATATCCAGTAATGTAAACCATCACATTAATTGTTTGACAGGACAGTGTGAGGTTTACAAAAACAAACAAACAAACAAACAAACAAAAAACAGGCCCCACAATACAACCTAAAAGCAGCAAATGTCAGTACCCCTCTTATTACTGACATTCAAATCTTGGAGGTATGAGGTATGGAGGGTATCAGTGTTGGACAAATTTCTGGAGAAATGCTTTGCCATTCTTCACTGACAATTTTTTTCAGCCCTTCTTTGATGGACATGCTGTGTCGCTCTATCTTTCTCTCTAAAGTACCTCAAAGGTATTCTGTTGGATTAAAGGATTTTGGTATATCCACAGGCATTCATGATGCCATCTATAAATGCCATCTCCTCAACAGCTTTTGCACTCATGCGGCCCCATATCATCACACTCCCACCTTCATGCTCCACTGTCGGGGCTATGGAATTCATATTTGTAGTCCAAGCCAAGTCCACTCCAAACATGCTGGACCCCATGTAAGTTTGTCCTTTAGGAAAATTCTTTTTGCAGTTTGGTGCTTAGTATCACGCAAGGGTAGTTGTCTTGGATGCTCCATAGAGGTTGACATTATGAACTGTCCTTCACACAGTCTTAGCTGTCACAGAAAGTCTGATATCCCTTTATAACCCCTGCACCAAGTCCAAAGCATTTGCCCAACTGTGTTTCAGAGTCAGATTGATAAAGTAGCACACTTTAGAGGATGACCATTCAGTGGTACTATTGTTGCTTTATTCTTCTTGATTACTGCTGTAACTAACAATCTTCCTTCATCTTCTTACATATTTGTGAAGACTTAAAATTCCTTTGGCAATTCTTTTCCATGTGGAGCCATGGTGCAGACAGAGAGAGAGAGACACAGAGCACACAGGTCCAAAACTGAGAAATTTGGTGATTACAGCTCATTTTATAACCATGTTCATGCTATTATGCTAACTGGAAATCACAGCTGTAGTCTATTTTGTCTCAGTGAGCACACGTTTTGACCTTCTGGGTCAGTTATTTAATAGTATTAGTGTTGTTACAAGATGTAATATCACAACTTTGTAATTACGCGTCGGCATCTTTTTCTCATGAGATGTTTGGACCTTTTGTCAAACACACACGATATCACGTTGGGATCATAGACTGTATAAAAGATGGACGTA